TGCTTTTCTTATTGATGTGTCCTGCTTCACAAAATATGTTCAACAAAATTTGTTTCTTTGGGATCTTAAATTTGTTGTTTTCATTAGTAAATTGTATCTTTGTTTTGATATTTGTTGTCTTAAAATTCTCTTGTTTAGTTTCTTTGCTGTTTCAGGCATACATAGTCTAAGGGCATGGTTTGCATATCTATTGATGATTTTGTTTTCTCTTTGCCTCAATTGAGGATATTTGCTGTTTTTAGGATATCATATAGTCCTGGTCATGCATTATCTTTGTTGTTTTACTACTGATAGGTTGTTGTTTGCACTGCTTGTATGACTGTTTTGAGGGAGGACCTTGTTTGATGCACTCATTCTCACCTCCATATGTTTTTATAAAACTAATGCAGGCTGTGTAATGAAAAGACAATGGCAATCCCATTATCTGGTTCCATTTGGTCTATTTCTTGGTAGAACAATGACAATCCCATTGTTTAGTTCCAATTGGGCTGTTTCATGGTAAAACAATGGCAATCCCATTGTTTAGTTTCATGTTACCATGTTGTTTGGAAATACAATCCCCTGATTGACTGTTTACTTGGTTTTAAACTCAACCTTGGTACCACATCCTGACTCTAAGGTCAATTTGACATAGAGTTGGATTGTTGGTTTTATCTAAATCCTTTCTTTGAGTCTTGAATCTTTAAGTCATTTTAATTTCACAAGATGATCAAGTCACACTTGTGACTTCTCATCTTTGCTTTTCTGTTTCAATTATTTTTGAGTCTTTTTACCTTTAAAGATAATCAATTACACTTGTTATTGATCATCTTTGTTGTTCTGTTTTATTTTAGAATTTTGGGCACTGATTTTAAGTAGCATACTTCCTTTAGCCATATATGCACCAAAAATAGAATAAATGACGAATGTGTTGTACAAATGCTTGAACTGATGCCATAGCCACAATAATCCAAAGCTTAAACCATCTTTTTCTTAAATTCAGCCTCTAGAACTAGCGAACCATTTCCAAAGCTTGAACTTGATTCAATTGGGCTTCCATTTCAATTTGGCCAATTTGTAGCCTTGTTACACTCACAATGAGGACATTGTTTCCCTTAAGTTTGGGGGAGGGTCCTAAAAGTACCAAACACTTTATAGAGTTCATGAAACATATGCATTAAGACCAAAAGACAAACAAAGAAACAAAGTTTCATGTCTTGTGCATACAAAAGAATGTCAAAGTACACCAAAATGTTTGAAAAGGACCAAAGTGTCCAAAATACCTCAATATGAGATGCATAGCAGTAAAATTGTGCTATGGAGTGAAAAAAGTGAGATGAGGTAAAATGCATGCATTGAAAAGAAAAAGCCAAATGCAAAACCCAATTCAAAGTCCCAAATTATCTGTTGAATCTAGTATAGGAAAAGAAATGTAGGCTAGCTTATGGTTTGACAATATGAAAGACTTAAGTTTGTGGGAGCTAGGTTTATGAAGAGCTATAGATATCAAGCATCAAGTCAAGAGTATAACACTTTGATTAAAAAAAATTCAAAAATATGCATACTTTGGCTATTGAATATTTATGCTCAAATTTTTTTTAGTTTATTAACCCTTTGAGTCTTTTAATTTGTCATTTTATGTTATTTGGGGACAAACAACAATTCAAGTTTGGGGGTGTGATAAGTGTTAATTTATTAACCTTATTACATCATTTTCTTAATCGTTTTCACTTGTTTTATTTGCCCATTAGTGTCTTAAGTGAGTCTTTTTATGTCATCTTTATATAATAGTAGTATTATATCATATCTAATGTTAATTCTCTGTTTATGCAGATTTTTGATGATTTTTGGGCCAAATCCTGCAGCAGTCCTGTAGGAGCATGTGTGGCAGAGTCCTATAGCACCAGCTCGTGAGCTGCACCTTTTGCCTGAGCCAAATTTCCTTGGGCTGCTCCTTTGAAGTTGCTGGGTCAACGGTCTTCGGCCTGGTCAAAGACCATTTTTGAAGCACCATTTGTCCTATTAGGTGAGCCCCATGTGCAAGCTTCCTTAGCCTATAAATAGAGGCTTAAGGCTTTGTTTTAAACACCTTTTACTTAACCACTTACACATATAATCTTTATGTTAATTTGCTCTCTAGATTATGGCTTTCGATATTTAAGCTTTCGGTTTTCTTGTTTCCAACCAAGAACCGATTTTTGTGAAGTGAAGTTGCGGTTACGTTCTCAAGTTTTAATTCAAGTGCTCATATTTAATCTCCATCTCATTTCTGTTCTTATTTCCAAGTTACGATACGTTTTCTGATTTTCGTTCCAAGTTATAAATTAGTCGATCTTTGTTGCTTTACATTGGATTTCATCCTTTGTGGCTCACGACTAATTTACGTAGACTAAATACTCTGTTCTTAAGATTTTGCAAATAACTTTTCGGTCTTAGTAACGAAACTTGTTTTGCAAATTTTGTTTACTTGTCTTGCAAGTTTCTTCAAAGTTAACCCCTCTTTTCAAGGCTTTCATTTGTCACATCTTCATCTCATCAAGTACTACTTTACATCATGTCTTAGATTAATTAATAATATTTAGTTATTAGTAATTTAATTTCAGTCCTTTATATTTCAGTCTTTACTTTTCTGCATTTTACTTTACTGCAATTTACCTTTCTGTATTTTAATTTCCAGCAATTTACTTTCAATCATTTATATTTCTGTCATTTACTTTCCAGTACTTTAAATTTCAGTATTTCTATTTCTTGTAATTTAATCTCTGCAATTTACTTTCTGTAATTTACTTTTCCGTATCAGTTATTTATTTTTTAGTCCTTATATTCTTTGAGAGAAGAAACCGAGCGATGATGGGCTAAACGCCTTAGCTTGGGGTGTAACAGGAAATTAAGACCAAAGCCGATGTGAAAGTACAAAGGTGTCTTGTTAGCATTATAGTCTACTATTTGTTTCAGGTGCTTAATATTTCATTTGATGATTACATTAAAATTAATTGATTTTGTGTATAAAAATGTATTGACTTTCAAAACCTGAGGTAATAGGAGAAGACTATAAATAGCTTTACTGTCTGACAAATGCTATACTCCTACGGTGTAAGATGGTAATACTGTGTTGTGCTAGGATTCACGACGTCTAACATAAATGATATCGTATCGATAGCACGTTGACCGGTGTGTGCTCTTGGGAGGCCGTCTGACCTGATAGTTGATACTGTCATAGTTATATAAAATCATTTATTGATTTTAGATAATTGTGACAGGAATGCTATGTCATCTTTTTGCTGAATCATTTGTTTAATGTCTTAATCAACTGTTGGACTCTGTGCTTCTTTTTAAGACTGATATTTTTCTTAGTTGTTAATCAAATCACCCAATTTTAGATACATCAAATCCCTCGATTCGCCATCTGAAATTAGTTTTTATAGACTGGACTTTTGACGAACTTTGCAAAGTTATCTCTGTGGGAACGATATTTGGTAGTTTACCATTATTACTTGTTACAAGACGATAGTAGTTCAAGGTGTATACTTGCGCCGAGTTCTATTTTTGTGTTGAAATCTAAGGTTGAATAAACCGACGAACAACAAGTTACTGCAAGTTGAAATGGATTTACATCAAAAGACTTTCATGGTTGGTTTTGAACTTGCCAAAATGAATCTTACTTCAATCGAAAAATTTATAGCATTGAGAAAAATAACACATGAACCTGAATCCGTGTTAAGCTTTTGGAACTATGAAGGAGAAGCTCGAGAAAAGTTTGTGAGCTATATTTTGCATGAATGATTATGCTTGATGTTTTACCTCTTTTTTGAGAATTATGATGTTTAATGGCTTTTGAAACATGTATTTGAACATGCTTTGGTATTTTGGCTATCAATTTAGTAACGTCATTTGGTTTATGGTTATATTTGAGTTGTTTATTTTTATATTGTTTTACACATTAAAATATTTAATGAAGTATTTTTAGTTTAAAAAAAAATTAAAGTAATTAATAATTATTATATTAAAGTATTTTTATTTTAAAAAAATTAATTTATCAAAAAAGATATTTTAGTCATTTACCATAATTTCATTCTAATTCCAAAACTATATTTTTTTTTGATTAACCTGGATATTCAACACGCTATGCGAGCTGACTAATCCCATGACGACCATCTGCTTTGCAAATAGCCCAGAGTCACCGCATTTGAACCTTCGTGGCCACAAGGAGATTTTTATTCCTCCTTGGATTTGAACCTGGGACCTCCTGGTACTTTTGACATTTGGAGCCAAACTCAAACTAATCAGGCAACATCCTTATGGTTAAAAAAATAAAGTTACACAACTCAAAGCTTGGGCTTGGCAGCGCTTGCCTATTACCCAAGCGGGGGTATTAAAGTGGATTGTACCTTGAGTTGGGCTCGGTAGGTTGGGCTTGATGTTGCAATATCTGGCTTGCCCATTCCAAGTTGAGAGCTGGTTCATGGGGCTTGGGCGAAGGCTTGGGGCACTTGGATCTTAGAGAAGGAGGCAATGCGTTAAGGCAGGTTTCACAAAACTATATTCTTTGAATCAAATATACAGATTCCAATTCTTTTAATATATTTCATTCCAATTCTGTCAACCAAACAGATGCAAAACCTAACAACATTCCATTCCAATTTCTTAAAAGTCAATTTTTTTTGATAGATTTCATTCCATCCAANCCAAACAGATGCAAAACCTAACAACATTCCATTCCAATTTCTTAAAAGTCAATTTTTTTTGATAGATTTCATTCCATCCAATACTAATTACGAATCAAATGTTACGTTAGATTTTAAAGATTTATTTGACAGATTCCATTCCATTCAATACTAACTACAAAGTTAATTAATGAAAAAGTGATGGGTAAGGAATAAAATGTGGTATTTAATAGAAGACAAAACATTGGCATCTACAACGACTCCAGTTTCATCGAGAAGAAGAGGTCTTTTTTTTTTGTCACATTTTGACCATTCTTTCAAAGGGAGACAATTGACTTCCACACGACCCATGATTTGCGTTTATATATATATGGACACTTCACAAATACCATGACTTTTCCTAGTTGAATCTCTCTCTTTTTCTCTAAATTTACGCGCGAACAAGAGAAGATGAAGAACAACAGAAGCGGTGGGGGAAAAGTATCACCGAAGTGGATTGTCATTTTCAGCATCTTCAGCTTCGTCTTTGGGATGCTCTTTACAAGCAGGTTTGTGTTTGTGTTTGTGTTTGTCATGAAGTTGAAACTGAAATTGGGATTTCCATAACGATTTTAGAGAACCCATTTGTTCGGTGTGATCAATTCTTTTATGGGTTAGTGTAATTTCAATCGAAGTCGATCCGATCCTTTGGTTCTCTAATCACTAGTGCTTTTGACTATTTTAGGGTCTGGGCTCCTGTTGAATCCGATGGAAGGATTATGAGACGGAAAGAACAAGATATGAGTTTTGTTGCTGATGATTGCATAACGAACAAGGTTTTTGCTTATAAAAAAACTAAAGGATATTAATATTTTTGGGGTTTATCAATCTGATGTGTTCTTGATGGGTTTTGTTCAGGATAATGATTTAATGAGAGAAGTTCACAAAACCCAAGAAGCAATCCAGTGAGTACTTTGTTTTCTATTAATTTTTATTTCTCTATCTATGGATGCTTGTGTTGTGAATGTGCTTGATGAGTTATATGATAAAAAGAACTATAGATCCTGATATGTTTAGATATGTCTAGGTCCTATGAATCATATGAGATAAGCTAGAAAAACAAGAGGGTTTTTGAACTTTTATGAGCTTCAACATCTGAGATCAACTTTACAACACTGAAACTTCAAGAGGGTTAAATTATTTCATAGCCATAAACATGGCTGATTTCATTGCTATGGTATGAATTTTATTTATTTAAAATATAATTTGTTCGGTTCTTGGAGGTCTATCAGGTCACTTGGAAACTCAATTTCAGAGCTGAGATTGGAGCTTCCTGGCAATCAAAGTTCATCTGAGGAAGTGGATCATGATGAGATGCAGGCTAACAATACGGCTGCGGACAATAGCAGGAGAAGGAAGAAAGTGTTTATGGTTATTGGGATTAACACTGCTTTTAGTAGCAGAAGGAGACGTGATTCGATTAGAGAAACATGGATGCCTAGGGGTACTGCTGTCTATAGTTGTTTATATATACATTTCTGTATTTCTTGAATATGATTGAATCTTTGTGTTGTTTGATTAGGTGAAAAGCTAATTCAGCTTGAGAAGGAAAAGGGTATTGTTGTCCGTTTCATGATCGGTCACAGGTGATTCTCTTTTTTTTTATATATATGTTCATTCATAAATGCTTATTTCTTAGTTTGTTTCACTTGGCAAAGTATACTTGTAGTTTTTCATGATAATAGTGCAACACTTTTCCTTGTTAATAGTGTTTATATAGTAAGATAAAACGAATTTAGTAAATACAAACATATGCGTATATTTGTTTTCTTTTTCTTTCCTTCAAATTCTCTTGGCCAGAGCGGTGTGGGCTGGCTATGGGGTTGTCGGTGAAACCCTTTTGCACAAACACTAACTAGGATATCATATAACATCTGCTAATAGGGGTTTTTCTTTTTCTTGAAACAAGTAATTGATAGAGAGAATCCCACAGATTCTCAAATTATTGCGTAAATATTTTCTGTTATTATCTGTATTGTTAAGCTAGGAAACTTACCTTTTTTCTGTTTTGTACTCCCCTTGTTTTCTATATAAATGAATGAATGAGAACACCAAAAGGCAAGGAGATTCATACCATCTTACATGGTATCAGAGCACCTCTAAAGATTTTCCTCTTTTCTTGATTCTCCGACGACCATCTCCTTTCTCTCAATGGCCGTTGACGGTGCTACTAAGACCGAAAGCTCCTCATCTTCAAACCCCTTTCACCGGGATTTTGCCATAAGCAACATCAAGACCCTAATACCTATTCTCCTCGATCAAGAAGATGGCCAATATGCCTCATGGGTTGAACTATTTCACATCCATGCATGTACATACAATGTTCTTGACCACGTCGACCCCGACATACGTCGACCAATTACCATCGACGATTCTACATGGATCCGCCTAGATGTCATCATAAAATAATGGATCTATGGCACTATTTTTAAAGATCTTCAAAAAAATGAAACCCGCCGCTAAGGCTCAAGAATTATGGACTCGTCTTGCATAAATCTTTCAAGAAAACATATCCGCGCTGTGTATCTAGAAGAGCAGTTTAATACGACACGTCTTGAAAACTTCACCAACATGGCGGATTACTGCAAACACTTCAAAACTATCGTTGATCAATTGACTAACGTTGGCACCCCGTATCTGAACAAAAGATGGTATTGCAATTGATTTCTAGGCTTTTGATAGGCGAATACAGTACCATTGCTACCATGATTCAGCAAGCCGACCCTCTACCCAGTTTCATTGAGCCTCGCTCTCAACTCATCTCAAAGGAAAGGTCGCACCAAGCAAGAGTAACATCAACAAACATTTGTGGTAAGCCCATAATCAGGTCCTCAACTGTGCCAACAACGACTCCTTCCCAATCTGATCCACAACACCACCAAGGGGACAAGGAAATGGTCGGGGCCGTGGGGTCTCCCCGACCATGGAGGCCGTGGTCATCTATCTTAATCTCGATAGCCATTGTATCAACAACCATGGACACCCCCAGGAGCGCCTACAGACAATGGGTGGTACCGCCCTGCCTATACCCTACGCGTCGCCTACTCACCCTCAAGCAGACCTTCTCGGGCACAATCCAACTAGCCGTCCTCACAACATGCCTCAACAACATGCTTTCCTTGCTCCTCAACAACAACATATGGCGGCTCCATATGCATGTCTCCTACCAATTTGGGCAATGCTTTTAGCACCATGACCATTCAACAACTTGATGATAACCGGTATATGGACACTAACACCACGTCCAATCCCACCCTCTCTACCGGTAAACTCCCACAAATTTTTATTTTGAGTAATCCTCGATGTATCCTTGCCGGTAATGGTGATGGTATTCACCAAAGGGCCTTTGGCCTAGCGGTATCGTAGCCCTTGGCCTTCTAGGAGGTCAGGGGTTCAAACCTCACCATAGGTGAGGAGGGTGTGTGAGTTTATTTGTTGCATTTGTCGTATATAAATATTATATACTTCAAAATAAAATAAAAAATGGTGACGGTATTCCACTTCATTGTTATGGCAACACCACTACCCCTCCCCCCACCCGCCCTTCTTCCTAAAACACGTCCTTCATGCTCCTCAAATTATTAAAAGTCTCGTATCTATTAGAAAATTCACGACTGACAATCATGTATTTGTTGAATTTGATCCCTTTGGTTTCTCTGTAAGGATCTCATACGGGGAACATTCTTATGAGATGCAATAGCGTAAGGGACCTTTATCCATTCTTCGAGACTCCTTCAACTTCTCCTCTCTCTAGCTGCCGTCTCTACCGCAACTTGGCACAATCGACTCGGTCACCCAGGAGCGGCAGTTCTTAATTTTCTTATGCATCGTAATTTTATCTCATGTAATAAAGGGGCCAACACCTCTCTTTGCTATTCTTGTCCACTAGGAAAACATGTTAAGCTTTCGTTTTCGTCATCTCATTCTATTTTTATTCTCCGTTTGACATTGTTCATGCAGATTTATGGACATCCCCCATTGCAAGTAAATTAGGCCATAAATATTATCTTATTTTGCTTGATGAATTTTCTCATTATCTTTGGGTATTTCCTCTCAAATACAAATCTCAAGTATTTTCTATCTTTCTGAATTCTCATTTTCCCGACATACATTGAAACTCAATTTTAGAAACAAATCAAAGCCTTTCAATGCAACAATGGTCGTGAATTTAATAACTCTTCCTTTCATCAATTTTGTGCCGACAATGGCATGGTCTTTCATTTCTCGTCTACATACAGCACCTCAAAACGGAAAGGCCGAACGTATCATTCGCACCATAAATAACATGATCTGCACCATCCTTATTCATGCATCTCTACCCCTCACCTTTTGGCATTACGCATTGCACATAGCTGCCTACATCATTAGCATCCTTCTTACTCACACTCTTCATAATAAAACGCCGACCAAAATCCTCTTTCGTCGTGTCCCCACTTACACCCATCTTCGCAACTTCGGGTGTTTATGTTACCCAAATCTTTCGTCCACCACAACCCATAAACTCGCCCCATGCTCCTCTTCGTGCGTCTTTTTAGGATTTCCCTTAAATCACGATGGTTACCTATGCTACGACATCTCCTCAAATAAATTTCTGATCTCTCGTCATGTGACCTTTGAAGAATCCACTTTCCCATTCTCCAACCTAAAAACATCATAACCACAATATTATGAATTCCATACCCATTCTATAGTCTTCCCTCTTATCACTGATCTCCTACTTCGTACGAATCCCTCTCCTCCACCCCTTCTTACCCCGACCTCACCTTCAACAGTAACCTCCCTAGCCTCCCCCTCTACGCCTATGGCCACCACCCCTGATACGGATACCACTCTACTTGACATACCCACCCAACCTTCGGTTATTGCTTCTTCTCTGTCATCTCCTCATCTGACGGCTCCCCACCACATGCATCCCATGCAAACACGCGCCCAACGTGGCATTTTTAAACCAAAGGTTCAATTTAATCTCTCTACCCAAACCATCTCTCCCATCCCATCCAACCCTAAAGTGGCTATGCTTGATCCGAATCGGAATGCCGCCATGTCTGACGAATTCAGAGCTCTAATTAATCAACACACTTGGGATCTTGTCCCGCATCGAAAGGCGCAAATATCATCCTGTGTATGTGGTTATTTCGGCATAAATACAGGGAGAACGATGAACTTGAATGATACAAAGCGAGGCTAGTGGTCAATAGAAAAGCTCAATAGGTTGGGTTCGATTGTGACGAAACATTTTACCCCGTAGTTAAACCGGCCACGATCCATACTGTCCTAAGCATCGCCTTGGGATGACAGTGGCCTATCCTTCAATTTGAAGTGAAAAATGCCTTTTACACGGGGATCTCAAGGAGCCGGTCTTTATGCACCAACCACTTGGGTTCGTTAACCCCACGGCTCCTAATTACGTGTGCTGATTTCGCAAATCCCTACACAGCTTAAAGCAAGCCCCCCGGGCATGGTACCAAAGATTTGCTAATTTTATCCTGCAACTCGGATTCATGTGTAGCAAACGTGATCCCTCATTCTTTATTTATCGACGAGGAACCAACATCGCTTACCTGTTGCTCTATGTTGACATTATTCTTGCTGTGTCTTCCGATAAATTGCAATCGGACATCATCGAAGCCTTGAAGTCTGAGTTTGCTACTACGGATTTGGGAAACTTGAGCTACTTCTTAGGGATCTCCGTTACAAGAACACCTCATAATATGTTCTTGTCTCAATGGAAATATAGAGGACATTATTTATAGGGCCAAAATGTCGAATTGCAACCCGATGCCTACTCCGGTGGACTCGAAGTCCAAGCTTAGTGCCTACGATGGGATCTCGTATCTGATCCCACTCTATATCGCAGTCTCGTCGGTGCCTTGCAATATCTCACCTTCACTCGGCCTGACATTGCCTACAGGTCCAACAAGTGTGCATGTTCATGCATGCTCCTCAGACATCGCATTTCAATGTTCTCAAGCGCATTATCGGGTATCTTAAATGTACCCTCGATCACGGCTTACATCTCTATCCTTCTACATCCACCAGACTAGTTTCCTATATCAATGCTGATTCGGGAGGCTGCCTTGACACCCAACGCTCCACATCCGGGTACTGTGTTTTTCTCGGCGATAACTTGATCTCGTGGTCGGCGAAACGCCAAGCTACCCTCTCCCGATCTAGTGCTGAAGCAGAATATTGCGTTGCAAATGTCGTTGCTGAAACATGTTGGCTATGAAACCACCTTCTCGAGCTACATTGTCCACCACAAAAGGCAACTTTTGTTTATTGTGACAATGTGTCAGCTGCATACCTTTCTGGTAACCCGGTTTAACACCAATGGACCAAACATATCGAGATAGATATACATAAGTGCATGAAAAAGTCACGATGGGTCATGTTCGGGTGTTGCATGTTCCTTCGTCCTATCAATATGCCAACATATTCACAAAAGGGTTACCGCGCCAACTGTTCCTTGACTTCAAATACAGGCTGAGCGTCCGACCTCCTCTTGCTCCAACTAAGGGGGCATGATAAAGAGAATCCCACAAATTCTCAAATTATTGTGTAAATACTTCTCTGAATATTTTATGTTATTATTTGTATTGTTAAGCTAGGAAACTTAACCTTTTCCTGTTTTGTACTCTCCTTTTTCTATACAAATTAATGAATGAGAAGGCCAAAGGGCAAGGAGATTCATACCATCTTACAGTAATCTCATAGTTAAGTATAGTAGTTATCAAGTTTATTTCCATCGAAAGAAATTTATTCTTGTTACTTTTTGACTTGAAATAACTAATTTGACACTTGAAAGTCAAATATTGACTTTTTTAGACTAGTTCAAGTTAGCTTCCCATTATACCTTATTTGCAAGCCATTGTTAGAATGTTTTGGCTATCGCAAGTAAAAGTAGATTTTCTTACCTTCTTTTTGTTATGCCCAAATCCAACTCATCCTTGGTTTTGTTCTGCAGCGCGACTTCTAAGAGTATTCTAGATCGAGCCATTGACTCTGAGGAAGCCCAACATAAAGATTTCTTTAGGCTTGTAAGACTGAAAGAAAAAACATACAAGTAATAATTGATTGTATTTGACTTCAGTCCTTGTAGAATCTGACGTTATCATCATCATCACAGGAACATGTTGAAGGGTATCATGAGTTGACTGCTAAAACACGGATATTTTTTTCTACTGCATTTGCTATATGGGATGCAAAGTTCTACGTCAAGGTGGATGATGATGTTCATGTCAATCTTGGTACAATCTCCTCGATCTTTTTTCTTGAGATGCATTTGTATTACTATTCCCTTTGCCGTATGAAAATTGCAGAAATTTCCACTTTGCGTTGTTTCATGAAAATTGCAACATTTTATTTTCTAAAAGGCTTTCAAGTTACAATCACCTATTTACCAACCATCATCGTTATGGAAAATGATGATATATTGATCTGGGCTCATTTGGTTTCTTGATGTTGGCCAATCTTCCATAAACCCTTCTTACCGTCAACAACTAGCCCTTGATTTAAGTGTTTTAAATCAGGTGGGATTAATCAGGATAGGTGGAGATTAATCAGGTTTATCCTGTCAAGAAAGCGTATTTGGGTTTATCTTATTGATCAGATTAATAAATTATGTGATGCCTTAATTGTTTGCCTGGTTAGAGAAGTTAATTGCCCATATTCTTAAAGTAAACCAAACCAAACCAAACAAGCCATACCAAACCAAACAAGCCCAACATATGGTCTGGGGGTAATGATGTATGCAGATTTGACTTTTGCTCTAAAGAGTAGAGCATAGAGTGGTTGTTTTCATTAAGATCCCCGACTTGTTAGTATTCCTAAAGTAATCATGCCAAAATTGAAATCTATTTTGATCTTTTCTAGCTTAATTAATCAGGGCCAACTATAAAACAATCCGGCATAGTCATATTCCTCGATGCAAATTGGATGATTTTGTGATTATTGCCCTCATCTATGGAAAATAGAAGTCGGTTTATGCTAATTAAAATTTCTAGTCTTCTTTTTGATAGTTACAATTACATGTCACATACTCTAAAAGTAATTGTGTCTAGAAACAATTATATTAGTAAAAGTGCTCATATTCTAAGATAATTTGAATAATTAACTTCTATGTGCATCATAATCTAAAAATTAGAGTGAATTACAAATTCGGTTTATATATTTTTTGTAATTATTAAGGTCCTTCTATCAAAATAAGTACTCATTTGGGACCTATGGTCTGCATTTTTGCAAGTAAGTACTTACATACACACACACATAGGCACACGTGAGCCATGAGGCATCTCGTTCCCCCTTCCCCTCTTCTTTGGTGATGGCACATTGAAACCACCGGTGACAAAACACAAATCCTAGTGAAGGGTGACTAAAACCACAGTGGCAAAAACCCAAATTCTCCGGTAAACAGGGATCAAATCTTCCTACGAGAAGTTGGGCAGTTAATAGCGCGCTATAGCGACACATCGTGGTGCTATATCGAATAGCGGTCCCTCAACAAATAGCGGTCCCTCAACAAATAGCGGTTAAGGGTTTGCGGTCTAAAATAGCGATACCGCAAATAGCGGCCTCTTTTACCGCATATTTTTACCGTTTTGGACCCATTTGTTGGACTATTTTTTTTCTTTTGGGCTTTGTGTGGGCTATTTAGAGTGAAGCCTGCAAACAACTCAACAAGGAAACAGATTAAAGGAACAATTAAATTAGGTTAAACACTCAAACTTTGTATCAATTCCAAGTTTCCAACGTCCAGGTGTAAAGTCCAAACCTCTGCTTAAAGTCCTACTTGATTAAGAATCTGTTTGGTTCCAAGTTTCCAACTTCCAAGGCCAAAGTCCAAACACTCTCGAGAATCGACTGCTGTGCTGGTGTGGTTTTAATTGTTTGACTTGAATCACTTTATATGTATTATGCATACAATATTTTAAGTTATGTATATCTATATATCTATTATATATATATATATATATTCGTATTTATTTGATAAACTTCAAACTCAATCAAGGTTGGTTACCCGATGGATGATTGCAACTTTAAATCAGGTGGGTCAGAAAATGAATGATCCACGAGAATTCAGAGCAAAAAAGAACAGAGAAATATAGAGAATAAGAGAGGAAGGTAATTCTATTCATGATGAAACCTAAGCTCGTACAATGCAGAATGTAAGGGAAAAGTGATAACAAAAAAGTAACAACCAACTATAGGATATGCTGACACCTGTCCTTTTTAGAAGGGATGCTAACATCTGTCAAACAACCAAATCTATTTATTTAGGTCAAAATTCCCCTTGATCTTTTGAGTCGTAACAATGCCTTCCCCTTGAGAGGATCCTTGTCCCCAAGGATCAAATTTTGGATACACCCTATCCATGGTGAGAGCATCTTCCCATGTGGCATCTTCTGCAGGCACTCCCCTCCATTTCACCAGCCATTCAATGACTTGTTTGTTGTGCGTCTTTATGGTTCTTTTGTCAAGGACTTGCTCAGGAACTCTTTTAACTACACTTCCCGATGCAGTCAAAGGAGCAGCCTCTCTAGGCGTAGACCATGATGTTTTTTTTGAGTAATGAGACATGAAAAGTGGGATGGATACTGGATTGGGCTGGTAATTGGAGAGTGTAAGCCACATTCTCTATCTTTGCACACACCTTGTAAGGGCCGAAATTCTTGGCTGCTATCTTCATATTAGCCTGTCCACCACTGATGTTTGCCAGTAAGGTTGTAATTTGAGGTAAACCCAGTCGCCGATTTCGAGCTTCCTCTCTAATCAGTGTTTGTCTGCAGCCTGTTTCATTCGATTCTGAGCTCTATGCAAGTTGTGCTTCAGTATAGTAATGGCCTCTTCCCTGGCTATCAAACTTCAATTCACTTAATCGACTTTACTTTCCCCTGGTAAGTATGGCAAGTGCAACGGAGGAGCTTGGCTGCAGACAACCTCAAAAGGAGTGCATCTTATAGCCGACTGATAATTGGTGTTATACCAATATTCAGCCAACGGTAACCATTTTGCCCACTCTTTAGGTGCCTCGTGACACATACATCTCAAATAACCTTCCAAACACCTATTCAATACCTCAGACTGGCCATTAGATTGAGGACGGTAGCTGTTGGACATGTTTGGGTTATACTTTGTAACGCCATGAGCTCTTGCCAGAAATTACTGATAAATTTTTTATCTCTATCAGACACTATGGACTTTGGAAAACCGTGCAACTTATAGACGTTATCCAAAAATACCCAAGCTATGTCTATGGCAGAGAAAGGATGGCCGAGGGAGAAGAAATGGGCGTATTTGCTCAAGCGATCAATGACCACCATTATTACATCCTTGCCATGTATGTTAGGGAGGCCTTCAATGAAATCCATGGCGATGTCTTCCCAGACCTCTTCTGGAATTGGTAAAGGTTGCAACAATCCAAGCTGTGTTACAGTATCCGCCTTGCATTGCTGACATACTACACAATTCCTGATGTAGGCAGCCACTTGCGTCATCTTTGGCCAAAAAAATAGTCTTTAGGCGTTTGAGAGTTGTTGTAACTCCCGAATGACCTCCCTGCGATGAATTGTGCATCCAAGACATAATCTTGTGCTTAATGTCTTTAAAGTTACCGATTACCAATTTACCCTTCCTTCTCAACTCTTGATTTGTCCAGCTGTACTTGGGATGTTTGCTACCATCTTGTTGAATGGCCGAAATTATAGCTTTGAGTTTTGTATACTGCTTCCAAGCCTCTTGAATAGACTATAAAGATCTGAGTGAATGTTGGATACCGCCATTTGCAACAATTCTCAATGAGTTGCGCTGGATAATGAATCAGCTACTTTGTTCTCAGCCCCTTGCTTATAGGAGATCTCATAGTCGTATTCCAACAATTTAGACAGCCACAATTGATGAATGAAGTATTCAGCTTGTTTTCTAGCAAGTGTTTAAGGCTTTGTTGATCAGTCCTGATCACAAAATGCCTATCTAACAGGTACAAATGCCATTTCTGCACGACATGAATAACAACTAACAACTCCTTTTCATATGTAGATAAGGTGACATGTCTGGAAGATAAAGCCTTGCTGATGAAGGCAATTGGGTGCCCCTGCTGCATCAAATTGCTCCTATTCCATGGTTAGAAGCATCGATTTCTATAACAAATGGCTCGTTGAAGTTAGGCAGTGCCAAAACTGGAGGTTTTAGTCATCACTTGCTTCAAATTTAAGAAAGCCTTGTCTGCCTCGTCATCCCAAAAAAAAGAATCTTTTTGTAATAAGCGCGTCAAGGGTTTTGCAATCACGCCATACCCTTTGACAAACCTCCGGTAGTAGCCGATTAGTTCCAGAAACCCTCTTAGCTGCTTGACATTGGTTGACACCGGCCAGTTTACGATAGCTGTGATCTTAGTCGGGTAAGTGGCTACTCCTTGACTTGAGAGAATATGACCCAAGTATTCGACCTGCGGCACCCCAAAAACACACTTGCTGCGCTTACGGATTTTGCCTCGTAGTTTCCAACACCACCCTTAAATGCTGCAAATGGGTAGTCCAACTTGGACTGTACAAACTTTCTTAAATATGTCATCAAAAAACACAAGTACAAACTTTCTTAAATAGGGTTGAAATACCCTATTCATTAAACTTTGGAAGGTAGAGGGAGCATTGGTTAGCCCAAAGGGCATAACCAAAAATTCAAAGTGTCCACGGTGTGTTTTAAAAGTTGTTTTTTGAACATCTTGGGTGGCAACTTTGATTTGGTGATTTCCAGCACGCAAATCAATTTTAGAAAACCATTGGGTCCCATGTAGTTCATCCATAAGTTCCTCAATCAATGGAATAGCTGTCAGGAATAGTCATCTTGTTTAAAGCCCTGTAATCGACACACATCCTCCAACTCCCATCTTTTTTTTAACCAACACAAGAGATGCAAACAGGCTGTTACTAGATCTGACCACTTCTTGATCCACCAATTCCCGAGTTAATTGTTCAATGACGTCTTTTTGCAAAATAGGGTAACGGTAGGGTCTGATGTTTACTGGATTTGAACCATCTTTCAGGGGAATAACATGATCAAATCCTTCTCGAAAAGGAGGTAACCCGAGGGTTCCTGGAATATGTCACGATACCCTTGCAACAACTTCACTAATTCAGGATGAGTGGAATTATTAGAGCTGTTGGCCTTAATTTGGAAACTGGGCAGTTGGTTGTCACCTTGAGTTGCCATAAGTTGCATCATGGACAACTGTCCACCTTGCTGTAATGCCTTGTTCATTTTCCGGTCACTAACGGTCTTCACCCTTTTTTCTGTTGCTCCCCTTAGAGTCACCTTGGTTCCCTTGACAGAGAACTCAATAGTATGGTTTACAAAATCAAAGTTAACCTTCCCCATGATGTAAATCATTGGACACCCAAAACAACGTCACATCCTCCTAACGGTAATAACCAAAGGTCAGCTGTGAAGGACATTGACTGCGTCTTCCATTGGAAACCTTCAATCATGGTGTTGCACGTAACTCTTCCCCCATCAGCAACTCTAACCAGCATGGGCGGCTTAGAGACCAATTTACACCCTTCTTCAAACGATCCGCCACGAGTTGATTGATTTGTAGCGACAAACCCGAAAGGAGATCATTAATTTCTGAATCGCTCGAGTATTCTCCGCCACCCGCATAATTTGTTGCTGATTACTATTTTCGATTCGAGCACTATAATCCTCTAAATGTTTTGATCATCGTTTCCAAATCAGCGACACTTCCTCGTTCTTGCGATGATGGAGGTGGATTGATATTTGATGATGCTTCAGCGAATTCATCAGCTTCTGTCCTTGATTGTCGGCTTTACCCATACTTCCTGTGATTGCAATGGTTGGATTTCCCAGAACCGACTGCTCTGATACCAATGATAAACCTCAATCAATCAAGGTTGGTTACCCAACGGATGATTGCAACTCTAAATTAGGTGGGTTAGAGAATTAATGATCCACGAGAATTCAGAGCAGAAAAGAACAGAGAAATATAGAGAATAAGGGAGGAAGGTAATTCTATTCATGATGAAACCAAGCTCGTACAATGCAGAATATAAGGGAAAAGTAATAACAAAAAAGTAACAACCAACTATAGGATATGCTGACACGTCCTTTTTAAAAAGGATGTTGACATCTGTCAAACAACCAAATCTATTTATTTAGGTCAGAATTCCCCTTGATCTTTTGAGTCGTAACATTATTTTATGAGCCTATCTTTTTACTGCTATATCATTGCTATAATGCTATTTCACATCAAGGTCCCGACTGCTATTTCTGCTATCGACTGTGTTAACTGCTTACACGAAAACCCAAATCCTCTGATGACAAAAACCCAACAAGATGTTTTTAGCGAATCCCCATCAGTCACGTAACACCTCCATCAATACAAGAATGATCAACACTTATGGTGGCCCCATTATCTACTTGACTCTTACCTCATAGTTCATCTCTCTTTCTCTAATATATGTATGTATGTATATATACGTATTTAAAGAGAGGAGTTGATAGAAACTCACAGTGGGATCGGGGAATTGCAGACCTCACCTGTTATCTATCATCCTGGGTTTTGTTGGACGGAGACTGGGTTTTAGGTTAATCGACCAAATCACTTGAGGAAAGTGCACAAGAGATGGAAGGGAGACGGGATGAGCAAAGAAGAGAGACACTAGTGGGAGGATGTGTGGTGCTCGGTGGGAAGTTGCAAAGGTGCAGGTGGTTGGGGCGTGGGAAGGGGGAGGGGTAAGGGTCATAGGAGGAGGTCAGGTTCAGGGAAGGGGAGGGGCCGGAGGAGGTTGTTGATGGAGAAATTGCTTATGTGTATATACACATATATAATATAAAATAATATTATATAATATATTTTTAATAGAAAATGAGAAAAGAAGATAAAATTTGCTAGGACTTCTTTAACAAAGTTAGTCAGAGGGACGAAATTGTAAGCAAATTGTTAACCATAAGAACGAAAAGCGTAAATTCAGAAAACGAGCACAATGGTAGCAATTTTCAATAAACCATGGGAACGAAAAAAACGTAGTTTACTCTCTTTTTATGTTAAAATGAAACGCTTACTACATCCGCTTAAGCATCTTATTGATCCCGCTTAGGCAACTAAGTGCTAGAAGAACACTCTACAAGCTCTTGTCAACATTTATTAAGATAGTAGTTCTTTCCTCTTATTATTAAAGGCTTCTTTATGCATTTGGGGTTGTTTACCAAACATTTACCGGGTAAGCGCTTACCGGATATCATTACCTTAGCGGGGAGTATGACAAAGACTGAGAATCATACCCAGTAAGAGGTATAGCAAGGTTCGAGAATCTTACCCGGTAAGTGAGGGAGAAGACTCTTATCCGGTAAGCGGTTACCAGATAATAGATGATTGCCAACAATCTATTTTGATGGCCGAGAATGTTACCCGACAAGGTAAGCAAGAGTGGTGACTCTTGCGGTAAGTGCTTACCCAATAAGCTTTTGGTAAACATCCCCTTAGAAGATACTCAAATAAGCAAATGTGTCCACACCCCTCTAAAGAAGGGATTTCTTAGAGTAACCCCCAAGTTCCATAGCCTGCATTTCCCTTGAACTATGTTCATTATGTAAGTAAAAAAATACACTTTTTCGAAAACCGGGGATCTTCATTGGAAAATTCGCTCACGCCTACATACATCCTACCCCCAAGACCCCGCCTCCGAGTGCGATATACTTAGCTAATTTGGTTTGGTTTGGTTTGGTTTATGCTCACTATCCAACATTGTAATTTTTATGGGATCGAGGGAGTAGTATTTATTTATTCGATGGTATGGGTTTATAATGAAATTATCATTATTAGAATTGTGAAGGACTAAAATACCCTTGAGAAAGGGGAACTGATGGCAATGTCAATTTGGATAGTCGGTGCATGAGAACTTAAATTGGGATTTGCAGGCCGTGTATTCTACTCTTTATTGTTACGTAAATGAGAATTGATCATTCTTATTTGTGATGCAGGCATGTTAGCTACAACTCTTGGACGACATCAATCAAAACCGCGGATCTATACAGGATGTATGAAATCTGGACCTGTTCTCGCCCAAAAGTAAGCCATACCAAGACTTGAATTCATCTTTTGTTCTTGGAGTAGAGGTCGAGTCTATGTACATCCCGTGCCCTAGACCCCACCTCCTAATGGGATATACTAGCTAGTTTGGTTTGGTGTTTTTTACAAAGCCTAGGCTTTTTCGGGGCCCTGGACCCCACCTCCTAATGGGATATACTAGCTAGTTTGGTGTTTCTTACAAGGCCCAGGCTTTTCGGGGTTAGCAAGCAAAAAAAACCCGGACCTTTAAAAGCCTGGCTGGGCTTTGGTGTGAAAATAGACTGGATCGGGCTTTTATAGGCCGAGCTTTAACCTGACCTTGAAAAATTACTTGGCCTGATCGGGCTTTTTTGTACATCTCTAATACTAGCCCCATGAATATTTAGCCATAACTTTTTATATTCTTTGATGGGTAGGAATGTCAAATACCATGAACCTGAATACTGGAAGTTTGGAGAGGAAGGAAACAAATATTTTCGGCATGCAACCGGACAGATTTATGCTATCTCAAACGACCTTGCTGCATACATCTCCACCAACCAGTAAGTATCCGCGTTCTATTTCTGGTAGTCAAACGTAATACTTTTCAAGTTCATATGAAATTCTTTAATGAATCTTTCTAGTAAAATTGGTGCTTTCTATATGGTCTTTGTGTGGTTTCAATTTTATATCAGAATCAAATAACATTTAGGGCAAAATCAATCAAAAATTCAACGAAGTTTTCCTTAATTCGTATTTAGTGTAACAAATAATTCTTTTTTTCGATGAATGTAATAAAGTAATAAAATTTCCTATTTATGTAACAAAGTTTCAAAATTTTCTATCTTTTACCATTTTGACCGGTAAACATGCTAATCTTCTAACATTTGATGACATGTCAAGTTTATCATTCACTTTGTCGTAACTCTTTCGTAAATGGGTAGCCGCATCATAAAATGTTACAAAATGAGTACAAAATAGGAAATTTTGAGACTTTGCTTCATTGATTGAGAAAAAAAATTCTTAATTAGACTACATAGGAACTAAACCAAACTATGTTACATTTTGATGCATAATTGTCTATACATTTATATAAAATCTGAAGTTCTAAAGTGATCTTTTGACTCTGAAAAGTCAAACATGGAGCAATAGCCATTGTTCTTCTTCATTAACACTTGAATGGTCAGGCCCATTTTGCACAAGTATGCAAATGAAGATGTGTCACTTGGTGCTTGGTTCATTGGTCTTGACGTCGAGCACATCGATGATCGCAACATGTGTTGTGGGACCCCTCCTGGTTCGTTCTTCATCTTTCGTTTTTTAGGGGTGGGGGACAATTTGGTATTTTGATTCTAAAAGCGTTTAAATTGATGTAGATTGCGAGTGGAAGGCAGAAGCTGGCAATGTGTGCATTGCATCATTCGATTGGAGCTGCAGTGGCATCTGTAGATCAGTCGAAAGACTCAAAGATGTCCACAAGAGATGTGGTGAAGATTCTGCAGCTCTGTGGAGTGCACAATATTGAAATCCAGCCAAAAATATCGAGTGATTGAGCTCATATGATAGAAGTCGGCTTTTCTGTCTTTATGTTATGTGCCAAAATATCACCATACAAATATACCATACGTGTTGCAGAAATAGAATCAATTTTTTTATCAGGTCAGTGTTCGACAACACGTTCACTAGTTGTATCTAAATCGTTATATATATAATGCAAGATGTAGGAGCAATATTTGTAACACTCTGCATCGTGGATCGCTTTTTTGTTGTATCCTCATGAGGTCATGTTGCATAAAACCATTCTAAGTTTAGAGCAAAGTCAATTTCAATTAATGCGTTGCAGGCTAATGAGTTACCATGATGTTTGTGGTATCGCATAAGAGGTCAATTTTGCAACAGGAGCAAGAGTTCCTTCAAATTTTATACCGAAATGTTTCAAAAATCCCTTAGCCACTGTACGACTGTTCAAGACCCATCAGACTTGGTCTTGATTTTATATACCCAACGAGAAATAATATGGTAAAGATTATGTTGTTTGCATTGTTGTATTTTTAATGTGACACCAAGACCTAAATCGAAGCTTAGCTCAAGAAGATGTCAGGATTGTGGGCACAATAGCAGGAGTTTTGGTTTTGGTACGCGTGGGGCTATGGTGCCATGCTATAGTGTCAATGCCATGCTGTAGTGCGAGTTGGCACTACAGGCGGTCACTATTGCGAGTAGTTCCCCAACAAGGTTAAAACCTATTTTTTGTATTCTTTGAAAGAATTCATTATGTTTTTTACTCCTCATTAGTAAATACGAGGAAGAACTTCTAGAGAGTGAGTTCTTAGGGTTACATCTGTCAAATGGTACCATTTGAAGCTTGTAACTGGTAAGAACTTGTATTCTCTTCTTAGCATTGAATATACGAACCACTATCTCCCATGTGCACGTACACTATCTCACGATAGTAGAACCATGTTAAATTTTTGTGTCATAATTATCGTTTGTAGATCGTTATTGCATCGTTACCGGTGGTGGTTATCGTCTCATTGATCAAATTTTGTTAGACACAACAACTTGAGGTCTATTTGTTTCCGCATTATTACAGGGTTTATGCACTAGTTGTAGATTGGGACCTTGGTGCTTTGTTAAAGATAAGTGATTATCGCCCAACAATTGGTATTAGAGCTCATACGGTTATTTGGTAGTGTTTTTTTTCGATTTCTACTTAGTTGAAATTTGGTGCATACCAAGTGTTTGATAAAATGTGTCTGAGACAACTCCACCTTCTCCTTCTGGTAATCCTAGTACATCATCAAAGCCTTATGTTCATATGCTGCCTTGGGTGTCAGTTCACCCATTGAAAAGTGGAATAAAGACGGTGATTTTGGCAAATGGCATAATGTAGTGGATGATGAAAGCGATATTCAAGAGGAATAGAATACATACGTTGGGTATGCGTTGGATGATTTGAAACCCAATATTTCTAAAGAAGAACTAATAGAGATGAAAGATCGGGCATTGACTACACTTCAACTTGCTATGAGTCCTGATGTGATCGCCGAGGTAAGTATGAAAGATTCGGCACATGGTTTGTGGATGAAGTTTGAAGAGCTTTACTTAAAGAAGTCTCTCATGAACTGTTTGATCTTGATGAGGAGGTTCTACACTATCAAGATGAAAGAGGGTTCATCGGTTCAACAACACTTGACTGATTTTCATGACTTGATTATGAAGATTAAAGCGGCAGATGTGAAAATTGAGGAAGAGAATATGGCTGAGTTTATTGCTATCGCTTCGGATGTATACAGGTTCACTAATAGTTTGATCTACAGAAGGGATGCCATCACACTCGATGATGTGAAGACGAGTATTCTCAGTGAAGATCTTCGGGTGCATATCAAGTTGTTGGATAGTGAGAGTTCAAGTGCCGGTAGCAGTAGTCAAAGGCTCTTTGGGTGATGGGAAGAGGAGAGAAAAGTCTAGAGGGCGTTCTACTTCAAAAAAGCCATATGTGAGAAGCAAGTCGAAGAAGAGAGGAAATTGTAACTATTGCAAGTAAGGGGACCATTGGTCAAAGATTGTCCCAAAATTCAACCAAGAGAGAAAGACGACAGTTTTGCTTGATAACTTTCATTTTGAGTGTTATTTACACATTACTTGTGTGTGTTTTTATTCCATTTTAGTTTGCGTTTTCGTTTGATATGTTTATGTTTTTTCATTTATTTATTTATTTATTTTTATTTGGTGTTATTGAGGATAAAAGTTTGTAGTTTTATGGTTATGCATATTATTTTTCGGTTAACTAAGATACTATGCCCACAATGTCACCATATTGGGCAAAGTTCAAAGTTGTTTTGGGTGAGATGAATGTTTTGGATAGATTTTCTTGAAGACTAAAAAAAGGGATGCATGGAACTTCTGAAGAGAAAGTAAACCTGACTTTTGCATGGAAATAGGAGAAGAGCTTTGGTATCCAAAGGGCATTTTAAAGCTTTTTTCCATTGGCTTTTTGGGTGACATCTTCTCATTTATATCCTCATATAAAGAGCTTTTGAGTTTCATTCAAGAGGAAAAATAAATTCTAGTTGAATTCTCTCTAAGTTTCATTTAAAGTTTTAGTATTTAACATTTAATTTCTTATACTAAGTTTCTTTTGTTGTAATTTTTACCCAGTGTCTCACTACGGTGGTGACATTTTCTAGTTTTATTTTAATGAATGTAATGCTTAAGTATTTCTTTTCTTCTATGTTTTCTATTTATTATAATCTAAGCACCTCTTTGGGTGTGGGTGCGAACCAAATCTAAGACTAGTAGGTAACACTTGGATGTTGCCAATTTTATTAACTCATAGACTTGGTCACTTGGATCAGACTTTAACTCAATGCAGACAAGCCAATCATAATATTAGATCTTTGACCCAGAGATGAGTGGATCCGGAAATATTGCAAGAAGATTTAAGAAAGTCTTTTATGACCACATAGAATTACGAGTTTTTGCATGATTTTAACTAAGTTTCAAATGTTGGTTGATACCGGTGTCACAAGGATATTTTGGCATTTATTTCCATACTGGTAGATCTACTATCCTTAGATCTTTAGAGGTCGACCTAGTTAAATCGGCAAGCCTTGAGTTGGCAAAAGTGGTGACTTTGTGGGGACTTTGTAGGTATTGTCTATAAAAATTCACCTTCGAGAGATCGGGATATTAATAAACGTTTTTGTGACACTTGTTTATGACCATGAGCTTACTACAAATGTCTTAGATAATGCTTACACCATACCCTTTTCTTTAAATAAATTGTCCTTACTTTATTATTAAAATCATCCAAACTCGTTCAAAAATGTTTTCTCCTCCTCTAATTGAAATTGGTGTATTCTCGACTTAATACTCGAAACTTTGAAGTTTGAACCCTGTGGATACAATCTTGATATTTTTACTACTTTGTTACTTGTAGCGATCATAGTCTCGGCGTACACTTGCACCGCCACTGTGGGGACGTTGTGCCAACTGTTTTAACACATACGATTTTATGCTATCAAGTTTTTGGCACCGTTCTCGGGGATTGACGTATTTTTAAAGTTTCTTGAGTTATAAGTTGAGTTTTTCACTGATTTTTTCTTTCACCGAAATGAATGTTTTACTTCGGATGCCTGTATTTTAATATTTTCGATTATTCATGAGAACAACATCCTAATTTTTTGACAAGTATTCAAGATGACGAGAGTAACCCTTCATTTCACCTCCCTATCAAGATTGGAATGACACGTATATGAATACATTTGACCAATGAGAAGAATTATGATTATTCATGTGATTTTTAAAGAAGTGATCCTTACTATAGATTCACGTCTTTTATTCCCAACAACCCACCCGTGAATGTTTTTGAACAACCTGAACAATCTCATTCTTTTGAAACGGTTTCCTCAAGCTTCATGGAAAATTTTACAACATTTTTGGGAAATTTCACATCTTCTTTTGAATCCTTGAACAATTAGAGCTCGGTTCAAAATGCTGAAAAATACGTTCCACATCGGTGGAAGGTATTGTCTCTTGAAGTCCAAGGCATTCCGAAGCTCTCGGTTGTAGCCCAACATTTGAATGAAGCGCAAGCTGTCGTAACTGGTAGGCGGGTCCTCGTATCGGGCAATACCGAGTTCCTGGCGGGTAGGGATAAAAAGCACCTTCGAAATCTTGGCGCAAGAAATCTTGATTGAGCTCACCATGTCATTAGGGGCATCAATGTCGCCCATAAAGCCACGGTTTTCAGGGAAGTAGTCGCAGGTGTTCCAGTATTGTTGAACGTACCTTACCTAAACATCGTTGTCGGAAAGGGTGAGGGCCGGTTGTTGAATACAATTCTGAAAGAACTCTACCAGAATGGAATATCCGTCCTCAAAAAGTTGAGGACGAAGGTCAATACTGTAGTTGTTGGGCTTGATCGAGAGGAAGACGATGGCACGACTGTCGGCACCAGTCGAGTGAACCTGGCTTTCATTGTTGTTTGAGTCGTGGGAAGCTGAGGAGGACACCATTGTTGCAGGTTTTCGAGTTGCAGGTTTTAAGTTCGTAAGCTATTATGGAAGCGTAAAAGTTAAAATGGTGGGGGATGAGGGTTTATATAGTGGGGGGAACAAGTGGGTGGGGATTCAAAATTAATATAATAATGGGAAAAAGTGGTTATTTGGCGTCTGATGTTTGAGGTAAAGTTGAAAAATTGTGATCGTGAGCCGTAATTACAGCTTACGATCATGATGGTGGCATGCGAGTAGGTACACATGTCAGAATGGGATTGAGGGGTAAGGTAATGTGGAAAGGTTTCTTGGAAAAGGTTGTTTGGTGTCAGGCGGCTTTGTAAGGGTGATGTTTGGGATTAAGGGATAATTATTAAAAATAATTATAATCCCAAATGGACAATTCTCAAGAAAATAGACACAAAAAAATATTTAATTAAAAATCACATCTAATTGAAAGATAAATACAAATTACGAATTTTTGGTCTTCTAAAAACTCATGTTGTATAGTTTTTAGTCATAAAAGCTGCAATTTTATATAATCTTAAAAATGTTTGCATTTAAAGATGGGTTTTTGGGAAAAATATTGTTGCTATGGAACTAGAGGAGCTCTGGTTGGTCATGACGCATGTGGGGGAACCAGAGGGGCTCTGGTTGGGCATGATGAATAAGTTCATCATTGAAATGTGGGGTTTTGATGAGACAGAGGCTCTGGATAGACATACCAGAGGCTCTGGGGCAT